ACATTGGGAAATAAATGCCTTTGTAGGTAGTACCTACAAAATTAAAGCCCCATTCTTTAATTTTTTATAATAAAATAAAGATTATGTAATTATGAACATGTTTAAAATATATTGTTGCTACCAGACAGTAAAAAATAATAGGAAATGTTTAATTTTTTATGACAATTCCTTATCATAATGCATTGACGTCATCACTGGCATTCTTAAAGTTTAACATAATAGTTCTGATTCCAAATTAAACAACCTTAAATCTGGATAAAATATTTGAATCATTTTAATGTGCACCTGCTTAGATGTCTGACCTCGATTACGTATTGTCATGGACCAAAAGGTTCAAGACGACAGGTGCATACGATTTAGGGAAAAGGTTTTTTGATTTCTATAAAGATTAGTTCGTGGTGGTAAAGAAGATATATAGGTATTTTTTTAAATAAATTAATCTATGTATTTCTTATAAGTAAATAATACAATTTTGATGTTCGAGGTTTTATTAACTATATACATTAATATTTGCCTCCAACCAAACAGCCTAATTTAAGGAATAAATTAATTATAATGGGTTTTTACGTAATTATAATCCAAAATTTGTTGCAACGAAGTACACCCTTCAAGATATCGCGGGTGACTAACTCAGGTACCTCAGGAATGCGAGTTTCATTGTTATAAATGAACTGGATGCAATTCGATGCACCTGATTGGCTATTATGGCGACGGCCATTTTGATGATCTGTTAAAAAGTAGGTCAATGTCAGAACACCTGTAGTAATCGTAATGCGGAAGTAAACAATACTAGGCGCCACTAGATTTATTCTAAAATAGGGAAATATTAAAAGGAGTCACTTAGTTATTTTCTAATCGATTTAGATGCAGTTTTCACCAAAATTTAGGAAATTTCGCACTGCTTACCATCAGTGGGAAATAAATAAAGGTAATTTACAAATAGTTCATTAGAAAACCTGTACTATTATTGGCTGTACCGAATATTGGCCTTGTATGGCGGAGCGATCAGAGGTGATTAACACAGTGGCATAGGAAAAAAAAGTTAATTAAACTTTGACTATGTATACATATAAATATTTGCTAATGGAACACATATCAACATATTTTTTTATTCATCAGAACTATTGCAGTTTTCATGCATTCGTCTGTGAATACAGAAGTACTTTGCGAAGCACAACTGACCGTACAGAGTCGGAGTTAGTCATATCTACTGATGCACTTTCATTTTTATTATGTAATAACGTTTCATAATTATTAACTTTATTGGTATTTAACTGCTTGTTGCTAGCTGTCCACTCGAAAAAAGTTTTACATTTGAATTTTACCAAATCAGTTTACTACAAAGCATTTTAATCAGTTTAACGTAGTTATCCACTAAAAGTGGTAAAGATAGTAAAGTTATTGTTCTACTTACAATTCTACGCTCAAATGTGTCCATATCATAAAAATATCAGTTGTTCAGTTCACATTTTTTTGTTAATTTTAATAAGAACGAAAATATTTGCTTTTACAAAAAGCTCTCGGTATTTAAAATATTGTTTGCAGGTGGTTGGGAATTTACGATAAGCAGAGATGTTTCAAGTGTTTACAATGTATTTTATAAAGCGTTACATTTTATAACACAGCGTTTCCGTCTTATGAAAGATGTTTGCATATAGGTATTAGGATAATATTAAAGTTAACCACTACGATTACAACATAATTAGAAGTTGCCGATAAAAAGAAATGGATCATATTGGTGTCTCTTGTAGTTTACATTAACTACTTATAACTACAATTGGAACTTCATGTGTTATATCATTTTAATTTTCCTTGTTTCAGACAGTTCCGAGTCTTTTTCTAATTGGATTGATAAATCAGAAACAGCGATATGGTTTACGACTGTGGGGCCTGCATAGCCAAATATGTGCTTTGCTTCTTTAACTTCGTCATATTCGTAAGTGCGATTTAATTAATTAATAATAATTTCTGTTTCTTTAATAACTGTTTCAAATTGACGTACTGTCCGACATTTTATTATGCTAAATTTTATAAATAAATTAAAACATATGAAGAATGCGCTCGTGAAATTATTGGAAGGTGGAAGATATCCACTAAGACATAGGAAGTGATAATTATGTTAATAATTACTTACTTACTTAAAATAATTCAGTCAGTTTACTTTAGACCTATATAAAAGTTTAATAATGTTTACAAATTAAAGTTTTAATTTTTAGTTGTAATTCAATAAATCATAATAAGACAGCATATAAAACTATTTACATTTTTTTATAGAACTTAATTATTCTTACCAATACATCATATTATTTACAATTTATAGTCTGTTTGTGCCATAAAATTCACACATTATGGGTTAATTATTCCACCAGGATAATAATCCAAGACCAGGTTCATTTATACTTCCTTTGATAAGATAGGGAACTTTGGCTTCTATCGAGTCTCGTGTTTCAGATAATGCAGGACCACTAGGACATGTTTCTTGAAATACTTCAGCAGTCACTTTGAATCGAATCGATTCACCAGCGTCCATAAACAGGTCGTGCTTATTCCCATCTCCCATGTCATACTGCCATACCCAAGCTTGTTCTGTTTCATCAAATCTTGAAGGGTGTTGAAGCGCGGTAGGTGGTATTAAAATGTCATCAAAGAATCCTAATGATATGTGAACTCCTTCTTGGCTGCAACTTCTTATTTTACCCAACAAAATTTCCTCGATAAAGGGCCTGAACACAATATATCTAAATGTGACACCGGTGTGGGAAGCTTCATCTCCAGGTAATATATATGACTCTTTAATATTAGTTATATCAAACAGAGCTATACAAAGTCCTACATTTAACATTACCTTATTTGCTAATTTCTTGTTTAGCTCGTCTGCAATTGCATAGTTTAATTTAATGTGGAAATATTCGGGGGGTATCCTGATGACGTTTTTCATTTCTGTTAAGATAAACATATCGAATTTTGGATTATACAAAAGCCCTTTATGCTAGTTTTTCTCTTTTACTAAGTGAATTATATCACTAATGTACTTTTATGCAGGTTTTTTTTAAGAATTATCGACATTAGTATAGTTATGTCTCTTTTTTTAGGTTAGAGTATATACAGTTTAGATGTGGTTCAAGTAACAATTTGTTGTGACTAAAGTATCACTCCACGTGAAACAAATTATCAATTTTTTAAATATTTTCCTTAAATTTTAATATA